GTAAATATTATTATTATTACAATTCAGTACTTATTATAATTCTTTAGATATTAGAGCAGGCTTTATGCTGCATCCCGTCACTTTGACTTAAAAGTGAGTTTGAATGGCCATCACAAGTCTATACAAAGAAAGTACAAGTAGGTAGGTAGGTACAGATTTATCACGTTTCTTTCACTGTCTGTTTCCTTTTGTACTAAAAACAAACAGGTCAGTTACATGATGAAAACAATAATAATAATAAGCTCAGGTGTTGTACAAACACGTGTCTAACACGATATGAAAATCTACACACACACACACACACAGAATAATCCTCATCACCGAAGTTAAAGCTTTTGTATATATATATATCCATTCTAATCGATAATACTTTACAGTACTCAAAAAGGAATGCAATTTTCTGTATTATATGTTAGCACTACACTACATACCAGTAGTGTTCACAACAGTAGAACAGCAACACACCCTGTTTTAGTATATATATATATATAGTCTTCGTCTTCTTTCTCTGTCTGAATATAACTCTAGCAAATTTTCGCTTAAGAAAATAAAAGCCAACAAACCAATTAATTAATGAATCAATATATGTATAAAGTTAACCACCACCACCACCACCAGACCTAGATTCACATTCTTTCTCTCTCTCTCTCTCTGTATATATATTGTCATTATAATTACTGTCAATTATCCAATAAAATAATTGTCTACTCTTTATCGTCGTCATGAGAACACTTCAAGGTCGACGACGATACAAGGCATTATGCCTTAGGCGAATGAGTGAGTGAGTGAATGACTGAGTCAACCAACTTTTTTAGACATTCATTACCTCGGTAAAAAAAAAACAATAACATAATACACCTCTATATATTTTCTTTATAAGTGTACATTATTAACTGACGACAACAACAATAGACGTTGTTGTTCTACAGCAATAATAATAATAAAGGATATAGTGATGTACATAAAACTACAGACTAAAACCACAGCTGAATAATTGGGCTGAGAACCCACTCACTCAGTTATGCATGTACAAAGACTGAGAGCCAGCCACATTTAGTGTATGCAGATTAGTGGATGATACTACGCAGTGTCGCTAACTCATCCTGAAGGTGAAGAGAGAGAGAGAGAGAAAAAAATTCGAATCTAGGCCTAATTTCATGAAAGTTAAGTCCATATGTTAATGAGCCATATATCATCACAGTTGACTGAACTGGCCTATAGTCACCATTCAACTCACTAAGCATTCAACACCTACCAAATGGGATATAAACATCGATCTTCTGTCCATAACTGAGGTTAATAAGGCTGTCTATAGTCTGAAATGAGACAAAGCGAAAGGGGACCTGATGGAATTGACTCCAGAGGTGTTTACGGACAGTGATGACAGACTGCTGTCTAGGTTAACTAAAGTATTAGGCGACGTCTAGGAATCAGAGATAGTCCTATTGGACTGGTATACACCATTGATTATCCTAGTACACAAAAAACGAGACAAGTCCTCCTGCGATAATCACAGGGGGATTAGATTGCCTAATATGGTATCTTAAATTTTAGGCTCAATAATCATACACGGCACTCAGGAGAAACAAACACGAGAAAGACAAACAGGCTTTACGTCAAGAAGAGGGTGTATTGACCATATATTCATCCCTTGACAGATTTCGGAACATAGGCATATTTTTCCAGTGTCCAACAATTGGCATATTACTTGATTTGAAGGCGGAATTCGATTCCATCGACCGGGGGTACAATGGCAGTCCCTGGATGTGAAGGGGGTGCCGAGAAAGTACATCACACTAATCAAGGCAATTTACTCAAACTCATGCAGCCAGATAAATGCTTACGGAGAGTTGTCATCTGAAGTAATGACAACCGGTGCTAGCCGTCAGAGATGTACTAAAGGAATTGACCAAAATCGACTTATGTGATTTAGGGACTGACTTGCTGCCAGGGGATAGTCTTGTTGGCTTTGAATATGAGGATGGTATAATCATCCTAGGTGAAGACGCTGACAAAATGCAGAGTCATCTGAATATCTTGAGCAGCAATTTACTGGGAAAATATTACTCTTGATATATTTAATCCTACTCCAAAAATATGGCGGAGATATGTGGATGACACTTTCACAGTGTTAAAAGCAGAACATATCTCTAGCTTCTTGACACATATAAACTCACTAGTAGAGGGGATAAAATTCGCATTTGAATCGGAAAATGAACAAGGAGAATTAGCTATGTTAGACTGTAAAATAAAATGAACAGGAGAAGGTAAACTGAACACAAGTGTTTATAAAAAAGCCAACGCATTCTAATAGATATTTAGACCTTAATTCATCTCATCCGTTAGCCGTAAAGGCTGGCCTATTTAAGTGTCCAACAAACCAAGTGGCAGCACTAAGTAGTACAACAAAAAACCTAAACAATGAAATGAAACAGATAGAAGAGGCGTTGGTGTTAAATAACTATCCTGTAAAATTCATTAGGAAGATCGAAAAAGGCCAAAGCAAAAGCAAATTAGTGGTGAAACGAATAATTATAAGATTTACAAGAAAGAATATAAGCATCTGAAACCCTATGCAGGATTCTTAATAACGCAGGAATTAGGGTGCCATTTAAACCTACAAACTGACACAGGTAGAACAAGCTCTGTAGGTTAATTAGACAAAATCATTTAATTTACAAAATACCCTGCAATGACTGTCAGGTCAACTACATAGGTCAAACTAGTAGGTCAGGGGTAGTCAGATTGTCAGAACATAGGAATTTAGGTAAGGTAAGAATGGTTGACCCCAAGAAGATAAGTAGTTTAGAAAAAAGCTCAGCTATTGCACTGCATGCATTAACACACAACTACACAATAGGGTGGGCGAGGGTTAAAATTCTAAAAAGTAATCTAGGTAGATGAAGAGAGAAGTTGATTACTGAATCCTGGCTGGTTCATCGAGTCTACACCCAAGACATGCAATAAGAATGACTCATCACTCATTCTGGAAATATGGAAAATACTACTACCAATCAAATAATGGAATTAAATAAACGACGTTGGAAAGTTGTGTGAGTAACTTGATATGATTATGAGCAGAAATGGATTGGGCTCGACATGTAGTATTCAGTATGCCAATTTACACCATCTCTGGTGCAGACGTGTTTGTTGGGCTATCGATCGGAAGTGTGTACTGAGCACTAGTTTTCTCTATCCTCCCTCCTTTATGGCTGTCAGACTAAAAACCAATGGTTAGATACGACTGGTGAAATGACTTAAAATCGTTCTTAATGACTGGCGTAGATGCATTCATCACTATTTGTGATTTCCCACATCTATTAAACCGTATAGTTCTTCCATTATTTAACTATTCCCCCTCCCTGATATTTCTGCTTATTAATTGTTCGTTTACATATATCTTTCTTTTCTCTCTCTTTTTTTTCTGTCTTTGTGTGATAAATGGAGTATGACAACTAGAAATGGTGCAGTTCTGTGCAAAAGTCTATGTGGAAATCAGTCAGTCAGGCGTGTTCGAAGTAATCTAGGAAATTGGCTTTAATAGGAGACAAATATAGATTAGAAAAGATCTATTGAAGCGTTTTCATCGAACTATAAGGATAACTACACTCATGATAGTTAACCTGAAACTATTGTATTTATAATCCATAAAACTAAACCCAGTTACATATAGTTTGCACTGAGTCATATAACTTAGAACCACATACAATAGAATAATAACTTGATTTGTATATATTTCACTTGAGTTAAATTTAGTGGAAAAAAGAAACAGTTACCTCTTAGGAGTCGTTAGAATAAAACTAAAAACATAGTCGAATAAAAAAAACGATAAGACAGTAGGGGTTAATGCGCTTGTGTGTCACCTTGTCGATCAACTAGTATACACAGTGACATGAAGGAGATCGTCTGAGGAAGAAATGACGACTTATAGACATTGAGTTACTGACTGACTGATTGGTTTCAACGTAGAACTTTGCACAGATATGCACCAGTTCGAGTTGCCAAACTCCCTCCATGTAGTACACAAAGCAAGAGAAGAGAGTAAAGAGAGATTCAAAAGAGAGAGATAGTAAACAGAAGTGTAAGTGAGGGAAAAAGAATAGTATTATGGAAGAATAATAGGGTTTTACTAAACATTATAAATCACAAAGAGTGAATGCATTTGAGCCAGCCATTGAGAACGATTTTCAGCCATATCACGGTCTGTCTCCAGCCATTGGTTCTTAGAATCTCGAGGACCCCAAGCAGTCAGGAAGTCTAAACCTCCCTAAATGGCTGGCTTAAACTAACAGTTGTGGACTTCATTGACTAGTGAAGCCGTGTTTTATTTTGACCACCACTAGCTTTCTCTCTCCCAACTTGATCCATCCTATGTCAGCTAACACTGCTTCTAATGACCATGTCTCGCTCACAGCCATAAAGAGGTAGACGGAGCGAACTGCTGAGCAGTATACACACCCTTTGGTCGACAGCCGGATATCACGTCTACTAAGCCAGAGATGGTGTAAGTTGACAGGTAAATGCCAAACGAACCTTCTATATCCGTGCTGAGTTTTCGTCAGCGATCAACCCGTTGGGGCTGGCTGATGCAACTCCCCAAATAAGTGAAGTGGTCAACAACGCTCCACAAATTCACCTCCTATCTTCAAGCTAGGAGTTGATGTCGTCCAGTCCTGTAGCATCCTCTTACATGTGACGGGAGGTGGCGAATCGCATGCCAAACATTCGAAGATTGCTGATCAATGTGTCCTTTTAGCTGGCTCCACCAATACCCATGAGGCCAGTTGAAGAACAGTGTAGAGGAAACCGAGTGAAATGGAGGTGTGCTCCGCACTGAAGCCCTATGTTCCACTAGGAAACCAAAGGGATTAATAGTAGACACTTCTTCATAACATCGAAGAAATCTTTACAGCACACAACTTGGCAAAAATACTTCATGATCTCATAACGATACATTTGCCTGAATTAACATCAACAAAAACACTCGAACTTGAACTTACAGTGCTCGACGGTGGGAAACGATCATCTGGAAAGAGTTCAGTGAATGGTCGAGGTTCATTTCTTGGTCTTGACATAACATAATTACGTACAGCATATTCTAAACGACTCATAAATTCTGGTCCTGGTGTACCAAGTTCTTCTGTTATTTTTGTCCATTGATCAATATGATCATAACCGGGAAAAAGAATACGTTCAAGAACCATCTCGGCAAATATACAACCAACTGACCATATGTCTACATTTTCGGAATAACCCATTCCCAATATAACTTCTGGTGCTCGATAATAACTATACATATTTGAGAAAGAAAAAATATGCAAAAGATAATACACAGTCTGAGTAATTCCCAAAAGGGGGGGGGTGAAACTGTGACGGAGAAATAACACAGTCAATAAACAAGAAGAGAACAGCAGTAACGAAAAACTTGAACAAAATACAAGAGTGATAGAAAAACCGTGCCAAGCGGAAACAAATAAGAAACATCTCTCTATTTACAAACATACCTCTCTCTAGGTGAAACCGTTAATTACATCTGCGAATAATAAATAAATAAATAAATAGAAAGTCAATAAATATTGGGGTCCCATCCCTAAGGAACTGTTACTAATTTGTACTATGAATGTGAAATTTTTAATTTGGTGGTGTACTCTGCAAACAGATGAACAGGAGTTGCAATGGACTCTCTAATGGTGGTTATCACGTGTTAGCAGAATTCTTTCTGAGTAAACTAGAAAATAGTCCTTTAAAAAACCTTATGTGAAAATTCCCATTTTATTGTCGGTATATTTGGATGATACCTTCAATCTTTGTGAAAATGATCTGGGCAGGAACATAATAACATCTCAATACAATGAAGTACACATTCACCTATCACATTTACGGGTGAAGAAGAATTCCAAAGTAGAGTTGCCTTTCATGGACTGCAACCGACAAGTAGACCAGGCGAAAGTGTAATGAGGAATTTACGTAGGAAAAGTGCTTAGACCGGTTAATATACATAGACATTTTCACAGCTTTTCTTCACTCCGATATAAAAAAATTAGGTTAAGACCCTTTATTTGTTCAGAAGATGCGATTGAAGACGAACTTAAGGTTGTATACGACACGTTAACTGAAAACAGCTCCCCTGAAAAGTTTATCAGTAAACACATAGCCAATAGAGAGTAGAAAAGGATTTTTCTGTATCTGTTGACAAGATCCCTTTATGTATACACGACTTCAATTCAAAGGTGATCTACCTAGTGAAGTAATAACAAACAAGTTGAGAAAATCGATTCAAAGAATGTTTAATGCCGGTACGCTGCATCCTACGTAATTCACACAGCCAGTTGTGATTCCCAAAGTGAAAGATGAGGTGCCTAGGTTAGCCACCTCTAATTCTATCTATCAATTCAACTATTCCTGTGGAGTCAGTTATATTGGCCGCTAACTATAAGGTCCATATTTTTTCGTTCTTGGGAACACCTGATAGTGTGGTCAAATAAAGGTGTTCTTAAAACCACAAACAGTTCTATCATTACACAACCTCGTCTAAACAGATCAGAGAGCCAGCTAGCATTGAAGAGTCTTTCTCTATTGTCTATCAGGCATCCAATAAATTGCCAAATGCCTTTAGATATCTAACAATCCATATTGGAGAGACCACTGCAATTAATGAAAACAAAACACGTAGTTCAGCAAAGAGTCTCTTTTCGGCAACGAATTCATTTGCTTAACTGTACAATCACAAATATACATGTTATTTTGTATGCATGTGTACATAAATTTTGTCAAACAAAAATACAGTTGGTTATGGTTATTTTAACTAAACAGGTGAAAATTAGTCATTTTTGGGTGGAGTTACGTAATACTAAAATAGTCAAGAAAATTGGGTGTTAATGAAACTAGGATAACAACAAAGGTGGTGAGCTGTCACAAACAGTTGTTAAAAAGAAGTTATGTAATGATATGGATAGTTTGATGATTGAGTTTTACTCAGGATACACATAGGAACAGAGCAGAGAATACGAAATTACGTAATATTTCTAAATGAACAAAAGAATTATAAACAATTAAAGAGACAGGCAAACAAACAAAATTAAGTCATCAAAAATCCAGCATGGTTGCGTAAAGGCAATAGTGGTGCTATAAGGAGTGCGATAATTGAACAACGCCTGGTTAACACTGATCATCCCATCTCAACAAACGCCTCCCGCCTTAATGTAATTTACAGAGACAAAAATAACCTCCCAAAGGTAATACAGTTTCGTCTTCTTTGTATTGCTGAAGCTCTGGACATTCACTTAGAAAAACCGGAGCTGTGCACACAAAAGAGAATAACTCAACCACTTCTACTATCATGGTAACAACTTTGTTGATTTTTGATGACTTGATTTTGTTTGCTTGCCTGTTTCTTTAATTGCTTACAATTCTTGTGATCATTTAGAACTTTTACGTGCTACACGGAATGTGGCGACTTGAACTTCCGCACATTTGTGCAAAGTTCTATGTCGAAAACAGACAGACAGACGTAATTTCGTATTCCCTACTAATTTTCACCTGTCTAGTAAAAATAACCATAACCAATTGTATTTGTGTTTGACAAGCTTAATGTACATATACATACAAAATAACTCATATACAAATATATTTGCGATTGTACAGTTAAGAAAACGAATTCGTCGCCGAAAAGAGACTCTTGGCTGAACTACGTGTTTTGTTTTCAATCAATGTCTGGATGGGGATTATTCATGAACCACTGCAATTCGCTTAAATCCTCCGGAGCTGTGCAGGCAGAAGGAACAGGTCCAGTCAACCACTACTGATGCCTTGACCTGCCGTTCAAACCTATAAATTCATAAACTCGGTGTTATTTTCCTTAATTTATCTGATATTTAATTAGTCAAGTGTTATATTAATGCATATTATCTCTTTCATTCTAGCACTTTTGAAATGAAATGAAGTGTAATTTATCGATGATGAATAATTAACAATATTATTAACAATATTCTACAGACAAACTGGTGTTGCTATGGGGTCTCACTTAGACCAATATACTAGCTGGCATTTCCCTTACAAAATGACAGAATAGACTCTTGACAGGGCAACCAATACTAGAATACCAATAAGATGCTCACTAGCGACTTGCCCTATTCAGGTAGGCAGTTACCTGGGGTTTTAGTGAAAAGTCGTGACCAGTAGGGTGCAGCAGATCGGCTGTGAGGACAAATACTCGCCGAAGACATTGGCTAGGGGTTGCGCTATATCGTGAATTGGCAGAAGTTAGAACTCATGGGCCATTGGATCGGGTCCCAGTGGCTTAATGGTACACGAGCTCGCCTTGTAACCAGAGGGTCCTGGGTTCGAATCTCGGTGGGTTCGTACTGATGAAGAGTCCCACATTAGGACGAAACAGCTGTCTAGTACTCCAAGGTTTTCCAATGATCAGCTCATGATGACATCCGATAACCAATCAAATCCCTACAAACCAACACTTGAAAGGTGTAATTATTGAACTAGAATTCGATCGTTGTTACATGGATGATATCCCTTTCTAATTATGAAGAATAGAGAATGAAGCAAAGGATATCTTTGACAAATTTAACGATGTGTATCTTGAAATAAATTTTACCATGCAGAAATTTCGTCCTCCAGACGTCATTATGACTACGGAAAGAATGAGTATGTGAAGATAACTCACATGGACTGGTCAGTAATCCCCTTTGTTCGGCTTCGTATCTTTAATATATAAACGCAATTTAATAGTGTTTGGTCCACAGAGATCTAGAGCAATCTGCCCTAATGACTATCTTAAAGAAGAACTCGAGATTATTAGATAATTACTGAGTGAAAATAGTTATCCAGACAAGTTTATTGAATGTGGAAAATGCATTTGAAGCCAATGAAAACTAATGCATCAACAGCTCCGAAGAAGATCTTGTCCTTAAAAATGTAGTTCCATGGTGATGATAACATCAGTGAAATAATAACTTAACGCCTAAAAATGAAGTAAAAGGAAAATTCGATGCCGCAGAAGTACTCTGTCTCTTCACAATCAACCATTCCAATTTTACGTTCGGGATTTAAGGATAAAACTATCTAATTTTTCGTCTCCTATGTGTATCCATCAGTTTGGCTGCTCTTTTGGAGTTAGTTACATTGGATGTATATATATAAAGGTAAATGTAATCAGATAGCAAGGCTATGTTAGAACGTAAAGTCTAGAGACAAAGAGGCAGTAATCATCAGCATCACTCGAACTAGTTATTCTAAGCTTCAAATCGCCGCCATAAACCACCAGGTGCAGCCGAGGGTGGGATTCTGCTGTTTCAGCAACAAAGAACTCGCAACAAACCGACCAAGAACCTATTGCCCAACAAATATATCGAGGGAAATGGAGGAGTAACATAACACACACACACATAAGGCCTTCATCAACTGGAATCCGAATAGGAAGCAACGAGTTGGGTGTTCGAGGGTGACATCGAGTAAATGAAAGCTGATGGGCTATCATGCGCAGCCGGCTAAAAAAGACTCCAGAGAACAGGAGATGGAGATGTGCTGTTGAAGCCGTATGTTTCACTTGTTATTATTATTACTATTCCCTTGGGTTCTAAGTGGAACATAAAGCTTCAACAATACATTTCCACTTTCTTCTACTTACTGCTATCCTCTTCACAAGGGCCCCCGATTGACCATAATCTCTCATCTCCTTCAACTCGTACGACCTCCTCCATCTCACCCTAGGACGACCCACTCGTTGCTTCGCGTTTGGATTCCACTCGAGTGATGGCCTGCATTGAGCGCAATGTTATTCGACGACCTTGTCAATCTATGCCCAATCCATCCATCTCCATTTTCTCATACATATTCGTTGAGCAATCGATTCTTGGTTGGTTTGTTTCCAGTCAGAGTTTCTTGTTACTAATTCTTTCTGTCCGACTGGCCATTTGATCTTCGGTATCTATTGATAAAGGTCTGCAACCTGTTGGAAATCTTTTTCATGACACCCCGAGTTTCTGACCCGTATATAGAAGTGCCGACTTCATATTGGTGTTGAAAATCCAGATCTTATTCCTTATGCTGAGGCGGAGTGCAGAAGATTTCCAAACTTGTTTCAGTCTGATGAAGGCGTATCTTGCCTTTACGATTCTGACTGACTTTGACATCTTCATCCATTCCGGGTGCCTGTAGTTGAAACGATGCTTCCTAGCCAGATAAATGAAGGAGGTAACCTCTGTTAAATCTCTCCCGTTGATGGTGACTGGTGCTGGTTGTTGCTACTGCTGCTGCTATTGGTTGGTTACTTTCATCGCCCCCATCTTCTCTATGTTCACCTGGAGTCCTGTCTTCGCTGCATGCCAGCCACTTATGCCACTTTGATGCTCTTCGCCTGTAAGTCTTCGAGTTTGTGTGACATTAAACATATATCATCCACACGCGAAGTCCAGATCTTCTAGAGTCTTCTTATTAGTCGTCCAGTGTATTCCTCTCTTCTCACTCCCCCCGTTCACTGTCTTCCGCATAATCCAGTCCACTACAATTAAGAATATCATCGTGGGTGATAACAGGCAAGCAGCCTTGCCTTATTCCTGTATTCACTTCGAACGACTAGCTGAGTTTTCCGATGTTTCGCTTGTAGCCTAATGGAATATTATTATTATTAACCTCACATTCTATTCGTGTACTTGAGGAACTAATTTATTGTCTGTGCAAATGAGTTGCAGTTATACAAAGCAAGTCGTAAAATAGCATGGAATGGTGAAACATACACAACTTAAATGTGAAAAAAATTATGAAAAAATTTTTAAAAAAAACAACACAAATCATCCTACCGAGTCACCACATATGGAGTCATTAAAAAACTGTCTCCAGCTGTACGAGCTAATCCAAAATCCAGTATTTTTAAACTGCAGTCGTGCTTCACCACAATATTGCTGGGTTTTAAATCTCGATGAATGATACCAGCTGCGTGTAAATGTTTTACACCGCAAAGGACTTGATACAATAGATAGGAAGTTCGTTCATGATCTAGATCTAGATTAATCACCTAAAATGCAGGGGGTGGGGGATAGAAAAACAACGACATACAGGGAAATTAGAAAGTCTCAAATGAGAATAAGTCCAATAGGAATAAGAAACTCAACACTGGAAAATTCTAACACCCTTACAACAAATAGGAAAAAGGGTGAGAACTATGAAAAATAAATCAAGTTTAGTGTAGTTACAAACGATATGATTATGACTAATACAATTTTCAAGTACTGGTTTGCACAAATTTCATTGGGTACATGATTGGCATCAATTAGCAAACCTGATGCACTATATAGGAAGCTACCTGGGGTTTTCTGGTGAATACTCGTAACCAGCGACGTCTATACCAAGTCAGACAAGAGGACAGTTCTTGTCCCGTGACATTGGCTGGCGGTTGCGCCAAATATGAATCACGAATTGTGAGAAGTTGGAATTCATGGACCATTAGGTCAGGTCCCAGTGGCTCAGTGGTTTCCGATCTCGCCTCGTAATTTGAAGGTCCTGGGTCCGAATCCCGGTGAGTGCGTGCTGACGAAGAGGCCAAAAGTAGGACGAAACAGCTGTCCAGTACTCCTAGGTTTTCCAATGGTTCTGTAACTGATGTCAGCTCACAATCACTCATATAACCAATAAAATTGTGTTCGCAACATCATCCAGTAAATCATACTGTTCCACTCTGTGTGTGTAATATATCCACTAAAAAATTATTTAATGGAATTACATCCTACCATCGCAGTGCCCAAGTTTAACAAATGTATTAGGAGAACCTATTGCTTAACAAATATCCCGAAGAAAGTAAAGATGGATTGGACACACGCTGAGGAGACCGTCGGGTGAAGTCCCGCACCAGGTCACCACTCAAGTGGAACCCGAGTGTAAACCTACGAGTTAGGCGTCGCTTTGAGGTTGATATGGAGGGGATCGTAGAGCCAGCTGCAGGTGTTTTGTTGACGTTGTATGTTCCACTCGGATCCCAGGTGAATAATAATAGTATAATTAAGAGAGATATATTGCATACTTATAGATTGTAAGTTGACATTAGACAATATGTATATATACAAATGAAAATAAACATTAAATGTAAGTCCAAGTGGGTACGTCAGTTCATTTATTTTTTTAAATCTCATTCCTTTACGTTCCCAGTGGAACATAAGGCTCTAGACTTGAGCACTGAGGTTTCGGTAGTAGTGGTTTTTTATTTTTACTGGGTGGATGACTGCTAGCCTCACGCTCAACCTTCCCTCATCACTGGGCTTAGCAAGGTTTAGGAGTGCATCGGCCGAAGATCAACCACCGGACCACGTGCGTACTTGTTGGCAAGAGTTCTGCCGCCGAAACACCGGGTACATCAGTTAATTAGTACAGCGTAAAAGATGTTTATACCAAAATGGAGAAAATGAAATGAAATATCACAGCGGGATCATCAATATTTTGATCAAAACAGCTAAGAGAAGCGTGATTTATTCAGATAACGCCTGAACTTTAAAACAGTGTGTGTGTTCCGTGAAAGCATCATGATAACATGATCAAACAACACACACACACACGAAGTGTGATTGAAGTTTTACCACTTTCTAGATTATATTTTACACTAAGATTTCACCACAAAAATGGAATAATTGTAAATACCACAATATCGCGTAAAATATCTTTGTTTGGTTGCCGGTTTTCAATTTTCATTACCATATATTAGTGTATTTTCTAAACGGCGGAGTCGACGGTTCAGTGGTGGAATGCCTGCCAACGACGCAGCTGGTCAAGCGTTCGATTCTCGGCCGACTTACTCCCAGACCTTGCTTAGCCGATAGTAGGTCATGTGAGGTGAAGAGAGAATGTTAGATTAGCAACCCCACCCCCCAAGTTCACAACTGACCGCCTGGCTGACTAGTTTCAACAAAAGTTCGAGTTGCTATACTTCATGCAGCACACAAAAGAAAGCCAAAAGAAACAAATAAAGAGATTCAAAAGGACGATAATAAGCAGAAATGTGAGGGAGAAAGCAAGAATATTAACATGGATTTCATTGGATATGGGGGAACACAAACAGTGGATGAATCTTTGCTACTGAGAACGACCTTGAGCCATATCACCAACAGTCCTCAGCCATCGGTTCTTAGAATCCCGACAGCCCCAATTACGTAGTCTACACACACACACCCCTACATGGTTCAGACTAATTGTCAAAGGTCTTACGGACAGATTTCAAGTTTTCGTTTGGCCATCGTTCTACTCACAAACTTAGACAGTGAACAAGTGTTACCTAGATAAAGCAGTGGATATAGTGTCTCCTTCAAACATGTTTTGTATTGTCATGCTTATATGAATCGAAAAGATATAGAGCTAATACCAATGCTTCAGCTTTTTCCCTTCACGTTCCAGGCGGTGGAGCATAGGACTTCTAGTTTTTGAAGTTTCAGTAGCGGCGGTGTTGTTAACCTCAAGGGCAACCTTCCTCTTTTCCGAATTTACCATCAATTAGTTAACTAAGCCAGGCTTAGGAGAGCATCGGTCGGGAATCGAACCGGGACTGTGTGTGTGGTTAGCGAGCATTCTACCACAGAGCCACAAATATATATATATACAAATAGTCGAAGGTATATTTCGTTTTCATTTTTTAATTCACAGACTAACAGGAGACACTACCTACGTTAATTCCAGGTACTTCAACATTGAAGCAACCACATCGAAGATACTACTGAAATCGAAATGAAATAGATCAACCCCTTTAACCACATAGAGTTATCACGGTATATACGACACAATAATTACACATGATGATTACTAATACTATTCAACTTAAGTACAGTGCACAGAACATAAGTAATTAACAATTATTTATCATTTTAAAATAAAATAAGAAGGCAGCAAACACTAATCGTCTTAGGACTAATGATACTTTACACAGTAGATTAATTTGAAGTACTTCACCTTTCTCTACGGATTGATATCAGTTAGAGAACCATTGATAACCAGGGAGTGCTAGACAGCTATTTCGACCTGGTTTAGGACTCACCATCTGGAGTTCGAAGCCGAAACCATTCATTTACAAGGCAAAGTCAGAGATCATTCCAGCCAATGGGACCCGATTCAATGGCCAATGCATGAATTCTAACTTCTAGCAATTTGTGATTTTAGCGCGACTACATCGACCTTGTGACATGCATAATGTTAAAATTCCATATATTATCAGAGTAAGATGATTACAAATCACAAATTGTGATGAGACATATGAATGAATGAATGAAGAAAGATCAACTCAAAGTTCAACAGATATGCGTAAAATAGATGACATAGGGAGATTAAGAACATTATGCGAATTTGTCATGTTCAAATACCATAAGATGATGAATGAAGTGTCGTCAATAGAAAATACAAAGTTTAAATATGATAACGTAAAGTTAAGTAAGATAAGAGGAACAAACGGAACAACAACAGCACAGAATAAAGAAGATTCTATTACTTAAAACAAATGTACTCGTGCCCCTTTCGGAAAACTTTGTCGACTTTGCTAAAGTATGCACCATAAGCTATGAGATCATTATCTACCATATATTTTGTAATATAGATGAATGAATGACTTCACACGCTTCTTTGTTCATCAGCAGGTAAGCTGAGAGGTGCTCTCGGTGCTTGGCGGCATACGTTTCCCGACGAGTCCTAGTTCCAGAGGAGTAGGCGAACACATACATACATACCTGCGGAATTAGATGGTGACTGGATAATTGAATTACATAAAATAAATCTGAATTTAAAACACTATTCAAATTTTCAATAAGGCAATAAGAGGACACTACAATTGCGAGATATTATTTCATAGTTTCCTTGGGGTACAGCTTGACAACTACTAAGGTTCAAAATAATAAAATACTGTTCGGCAATTACTGGATTCCTAGATATTTCAATGAATAAGAGGGACGACAGAACAATTAGACGACCAATATTTCGAAAGTAGACATCGAGTGGACAATACCTTCATTCCTGCCATTTGATTCCTATTCAATACAAATGTTCTCTGATGAAATACTTGTTCTCCATGCGTAACCCTAACATTTGCACAAACCATACATTCGTCGATGAGCTACGAGGCACCTATTCTGCTTTTTAGCAACTAAGATAGACTACCTGTCAAAAAAGACAGCTTCCATCACAAAGAAACCCGCCTTATTAAGCTACCTAACGTCTAAGGGTGATCGAATCATGCAATCGATAGCTCAAGGGTTTCAGTCGGCTATCAAGTACACAATCTACATCGCATCCCTTTCCTTACATCATCCCGAACATTTTTAATGCATGTCCGACCTCCATTAAACGGACAAAATTCTCTGGACTCTACTTCACACCGTCTCTACAAGTTCCTCTGAAGTTGAGACAGCACAAATTGTAGGTACAACCAATAGGATATTGAAATATCGTTCGAAGGAATATATGTTCATCATTTATTGCAAAGCATTTGTAGGGTGCCTCTGGACACAAAATCAACACTTATTGACTGCTTCTCATTCATTTCACATAACTTCATTTCAAGGTGGTTATGAAAGGTGATGGTTGAAACACTTTGTATGAATCACATGCATCCCAAATAATGTGTTCACAGAAGACAATGAATGGTCTTCACAACCTTTGCTTATCATGGACTGACCACCTGACCTACTAAAATGTGATTGGCTGTTAGTATGCACTTTTATTTTATATAATTTAGTAATTGGTCAAACAAACACATTTTATGCGTATTATTGTGAACCATGCTAATTGTAAAGCGACTGACTACAGAGAAAATACTAAATGAAGATTTATCATCTCACGATATTTGTCTTCTTAATGCCTTGTTTAAATTTCTCATAGAAACTAACTCTGTTTAAGGTTTCCTCTCAAGTGAAAACACTCCCTATTCATCAAATATCAAGAAGCATTCTTTTTGTTCCTTCACTATCCCAAGGCTTGAAGCTACAGGCCTGAACTGTCGGTAGCAGTGGTATTTATTTTTACAGGATCGGGTTGCTAGTCTCATGCCTAACCTTCCCTTTTTGCCAATGTTATTACTGACTTATAGAGGTAAAGGAGTGTGTCGGTGATCGGGAATAGAACCCCAAACCACCTGCATGGTTGTTTTTATCATTTAAACGCAGAAAAAACTTGGTACAATGTTTCACCAAGAAAGATGCGCCACACAATAATAAAACAACATAGATTGAAAGTAAAAATATAAGTAGAGAGCGGATAAAGAACTTCATCTGGAAGGAAAACAGTCACGCTTAACAAGTTCAAACAGTATTCGTTAACTATCATCGGGAAGGGAAGAAAAAAGGAAATCGCAACACGTTCGCTATCGATTACGATTCTTGGCCATATCCGATAACGTTTCGAGCCATCGATTCGAGCTATCTTGCGGACCCCAAACCAGGGAGTCGTGATTCACCAATCGATGCTAATCTAGCACAAACATCCTTCATCCCACGACGCCACATCATGTACTGACCACCTCTCCGCCTTTTCCATGCCGTCCCAGGGCTAGCGAACAGAGACCTGTACGGAAGCCTCTGGGATGACATTCGCAGCACATGTCTAAGCCACCGGAGCCGGTGTTTCCAGATGACGACACTCAACAAATGGTGATCTCCATTGTTTTCGAAGACACGCGGTCGAACCTCGGAATTACTCACGCGATGATGCCATCGAGCGCAAGCAATCCTGTGGAGACAGCGATGGTCGAACACGCAGAGTCGCCGCACATCTTCAGCTAGGAGAGGCCAGGTTTCACAGGCGTACCGAAGCATTGTACACCCGACCTTTGACAGCCAGGCTAACATCGCGAAGGCGCCTGATCAAGATTCCCATATAAACCATTAATTTTATATTATATTTCAACAACAGGAATACATGAGAGGATGGTTAATATGAACAAGTGAGACCAATTTTTTTTCTTTACCTGGCATAAATTCGCATCCATAAATTCCATGACTAAATATACATCTTGGAAATCTTGTAGTGTTTGTTGAGGAGTAAATGCGTTTAGTAATGATATGATCTGTATAGTATAGGGAACACAGAAAATTAAAAAAAAAAATAGAAAACAAAGTCATAATCGACAGTATCTAACAAACAATTAAATAATTATCGAAATAATAATAATCAAACTGAGAGACAGAGTAAAATTCTTCAACTGCTTTACGCTCTTTTAATTTTATTTCCTACAACGGAAAACTCAGCGAAGACATTGAAGTGTGATGACAGAAGTAGGACAAAGCTGCCTCATCTACCAGTCACGATAATAATCCTAATTGTGGTGGAGTTGATCATGCGAGGGGACTGTGTGTATGGCAGTGACAAGACAGAAATACGTTGGACTTATAAGAAGACTTTAAAACATCTGAACTATGCAGATGATTTATATCGAATGTCACACGAACTTCACAACCTACAGGCGAAAACTAAAAAAACTGGCAGAAGAAGCAGCAAGGGGAGAACTTCAAGTGATGGAGATGACCAAACAACCAACAACAACAACAAACGCCAATCACACATTCAAAGGTGGAAATTTGAATAAGGTTGCTTCCTTCACTTATCTAGGCATCATCATCGTTTCAACTACGGGCAGACGGAACGGATCAGGATGTCGAAACCAGAATCAGTAAAACCAAAGCTGACTTTCATCACTCAGCATAACGAACGGAATTCCGATTTTCTACACTAATCTTAACTCACTTCTTCTTGGCGCGTCAAGAAAAGCATTTTCTAACAGGTTACTGAAAACTTTTATCAACAGTTGCCTTCTCTGGGCCTAACACTAAAGATCAAATGGCCAACCAGAAAGAATTAGCAAAATGAAACTCTGGGAACGAACTAATCAAAGAACCTTTTACTCAACAAATATTCAAAGAGAATGAAGACAGATGGACACACTCTGAGGAGACCGTCGAGTAACAGAGCACTCCAAGCCAACATCTTAGGGGAAAACGAGTTAGGCGTGGATCTGATGGTGACATAGAAGACATCGTGTGGGATGAAAGGAGATGAAAGCTTATAGGCGACCGTGAGGCCAACTGAAGAGGACTGCAGAAAACAGTGCAAAGTGGGAATCTGCTGTTGAAGGCCTATGCTCCACTCGGAACCCAAGACAATAATTAATAGGATAGAATAACCGGAAAGAAATACTTTGTTTTACCATTCCAACCAATTCATTATGGGAACGAAAGTTCATTTTATGTACCTAAAAGTAATGCTAACACTTCACACATTATTTGAAGTCGATAAGGATTCAGTGGACAACTACCCGGTTATATTGGTTGACCGCTGAGGACTAACCAATGTTATGTGTCTAGTAGTCATTAGTGCCAACTAAATTCATCAGTTAACTTCGTCACCAATATAGGTGACCATCCAGCCACCATTAATTACAAGACATTTTGAATTGATGTTAGGTAGTTGAAAGCTACCAGCTTGAGCTACAGTTCTCATGTTTACTGACGTTCACTACCACACCCCAGTGACCAATCAACGAAACCACACCAGCTCTACAAAAAGTCAATCAGAGGTTTGAAGAACCCAGTGATCATACCTCCGATTGCTGTACTCAATGACACGAGTTCGAATCTCCCAAAAAAATGTGAATCCAGTGGGCAGAAACCTATTGTGCGGAGAGTAGTGATACTACTTTTGTTTATTCAGCTCTTAGTAAATGGAATGGGTTCGAACCTGTGAATTGCTGGTTGTAAATCATGTTCCTAAAAGAATCGGACACATTTTGGAGAAGACTTAAGCTAATTAATATATTAAGAATAATTAATTTATGCAATTGAGATTCAAAACCATCAATTCAACATCACTTTCTGAGACCCAGGAGAGATTCAAGCGTGTGCGAAACTATGATCCACACACATGATATGAGGGCTGATGGTGGTTCATAGTAATAATTCGTAAAAATACCTACGTGGACAGTAAATGAATTTAACCCTTCTTTTCTATTTCATTTCAATTCATTTCTGTTTTGCTTTCGTTTGAAAGATTTTTCAACCTATTAAGTGTACTAACTCTTTTTAAAGTTTTTTTTTTGAAGTTGTCTCTGGTTTGAATCTTTAAGCAGCTGCTGCTGACTGATGAGACGACGATAAGGAAACACAAAGTGAATCGATAATATTTTTTTTTAATTTTATCTTCAGTTACCGAAATTTATCTAAAACAAAACAGGTGCTAAAATTTCGGCATTTATTCATTCTGCATCACTGCATTTTCACTTAGAGTAGGCGTTCACCACAATTCAGTAATATTCACTTTACCGAAAGAATTCCCGACATTTGAATATTTGATTGATGCTATGATGAAGGTAGATCATGGTTCCAAATTGAAATCACGTAGGAAAAGAAAATAAATAAAATCGTGAGGCAGCCTTTATCATCAAAATAAAAAACCGCATAACTCCCAAATCCAATCATCAACTAATGATATAGTGCTCTAAGTGGCATATAATTTCACCTGTGAATAATTGACTTAGTGCATACCATCGTTTACCACCTCCAACCAAATCTTCATGAATATCATCCCAAAGCTAGTTCACTTTTACTCCGACAGTATATCACACAAACATGCAGAGTTTTAAAATCACATGCCACTGATATCCAACCAATTAGCTGGGTGGTAGTATATTCACTTCGTAGCTAGACGGTTGTCAGTACGTAGCGAAAATTTTCAACGTGGAGCGAAATTAATATCTAGCGATTCTTTGTTTAACAATAGACCTATAGCTGATATAGGCTTGTAACGAAAATCAACAGTCTACAGCATTAATTGGTGGATGGTGACTAGCAGTGGAATCCAGGACAACGCGCATTTCGTCCTATTTGGGACTCGTCGGTGGGTATAACTGCATTCCGCAGTGGGTGATGATGTTCCCACCGGGGCTTGGACCGATAGCCCATAGTTTCAAACGCCGAAGCTGCACAAGAAACCGGCATTTCAATCTGAGACCGAGCACTTCAGTCCGATCAATCGACGAGAAAATCTAAAATTCAGTTTACAACATTAAGCTACCATAACATATTTATTGTCAAAAGTTCACGGTCCATGTTATTTTTATTTCGTATTCCTTAGCGCGCCAAGTGGAACACACAGAGTGACTTCAATCTTTTAGCATTGAACTCCCAGTAGCAGTAGGTTTATTCTACTATACAGAATGAGGTTGCTAGCCTGACGCCCAACCTTTCCTCTTTACCGGGCTCACAACCGGCTTGGAAGGGGGAAAGGGAGTGCGTAAAGGTGTCCGCCGGCACTGCGTATGGTTGAAGAGCAGTCTACCGCTGCACCACTCCTCGTGCACGGATCATGTTATAATTCACCAGGATTCAGTGGTTAGGTGACATCACCTAGAAAAACTTTAAAATGTACGCACAAGTGAAAACGAAAAAAAGTAAGCGTAAATTTAAGAATAAAGACTTGAAATACAGCACTAACATTTTTATGATTCACCAGTTTCATCAGGACAAATTCACGATAGGCACGTTTGGCGTGTGTGACATTTTGAAAGGGGCGAGCCAATTTTTTTATTGCTACATCCTGTTTTAGCACCGAATCATAGGCAGCTCTGTAGACAGAAGAGATTAACATAGAATAAAGATATAATTAATAAATGTATAGCATAAAACGCTTTTATTTCTTCTGTACATGTGATAATTACATAGACACAAGTAAAAAGAAAGGGCGAATAATATCAGAATATGAAGTTTTAAAATATACCTTAATACTATTATGTTATTATTATTATTCCCTTACGTTCCGAGTAGAACATAGGTCTTCAACAACACATCTCCTCTTTGTTCTGTTTTCTGCTGTCCTCTTCATCTGGGTCCACGATTGTTGAGCAAACTCTCTCATCTCTTCCTCACACGATATCCTCAACGTCATCCTCACACCAACCACCCACTCGTCACTTCCCATTTGAATCTTAAATTAGCCTAATTTATGTTACATCCATGAGCGGTACAAAAACACACATATACAAGAGATACAATATATTCATTGTGCAGTTATTCACAGGAATTCGAATACATTTGGAAAAGAAAAAGAACATTACATCCATAAATTGTTTAAACAACCAGACTTAAGACTGATAAAAGTTCCAAAACAAATAGTGCAGTTAAACGACGTAAACTACATGACTAACCCAGTGTGCCATAGAAATTATTTGCTGATGCACTACTAAATACGTTTTAAGTGTGATTTATTAACCATTTTCATTGAATCCAACCCATTTAGTATTAGTACATGTCTGCGAATCCCTCGTTAAACAATCTCCAGATCCTAACTAAAAACCATAGGAAAATTGCAACTTAATTCGAATCCCAAAGTCACGACACTACTACCACATTTTAATCGTTGACAGTCATCCAAATATTCCTGAGATATCTTAATTACACTTGAATGACAAAGTGGGACTCCAACATTAATGGACAGAAGACTGGAAGTTCAGCAAACAGTCACTTTTCGGCTAATTCGTTTTCATAACTGTACAATCGCAAATACATATGGTTGTTTTGTATGTGTGTATGTGCACATTAAATCTGTCAAACGAAAATACAATTAATAAGTTCAGATGAATTGGATGTTGATATACGAGGATAGTAACAAGAGAGATAAGTTGTCACACATGATTGTTAAAGAAGAGTTATGTGATGGCGTGAATAGTTTGATGAAAGAGTTGTGCTCAGGGTGTACATGGAAACAAAATAACATACGGAATTACGCAAGGGTTTTAAGTAGTCAGAAAAATAAGCATACAAACAAAAGTTGAGTCAAATCAACGGAGTTGTTACCATGAGAGTAGAAGAGGTTAGATAATTTTCTCTTGTATGCATAGTTCTGGTTCTTCCAACTGAATAGCTAGGGCTTCTGCGATGCAAAGAAGACGGAAGCGTATTGTCTTTGGAAGGTTGTTCTTCACTTTGTAGATTACTTTGAAGCAGGAGACGTTTGTTGATTGAGACCTTTACTAGAACTAGATCAGTTACTATAAATATTCAACAAATGCCATTCAGCTACAAAGTTCACTCTTGAAATTGAAAACGAATCTAAAATCCCTTTTTTTGATGTTGAACTTACAAGGAGAGTTGAAGGAACTTGAAGAAGGTCCATCCATAGGAGACCCACATGGAACGGCCAACTGACAAGCTTCTACAGCTGGGTACCAATCATTCGAAAAAGAAACCTAATTAGATCTCTTGCCACCCGCGTCCGACACATCTGCAGCTCTGACACCCTGTAAGAAGAACTACGCTTCCTGAAAGAAACCTTCATACAAGACAGTTATCCATCAAGATTCGTAGACATAAACATCAAATAGAAAATCCAAAAGCATGTGGCACTATCCATGCCAAAAAAGATACTGTATATGATTGTCGACTTCAAAGGTGACCTACTCAATGATGTCCTTGGGAGGAAAATTTCGACTTTTTCAAGAAGAACTTTCTTTGTGGCAACACTGAGAGTAGTGTTCTCCAGTCACTCGCTGATCTACAGAAGCCCAAAGGACAAGATCCAGCACCTAACCACTTCTGTGTATATATCAGTTCACCTGTTGCTGCGGAGCCAGGTACATCGGTCGTTCAACGCGCACCCTGTCAAAAAGGGTCAAAGAGCACTATCCAGTGTGGCTGCAGAAGGGAAGTAGTGGCCGTATGGGGAGTGTAATAATCGAACATCTCGTCAACACTGGTCATTCCATCTCAACAAACGCCTCCCGCTTCAAAGTAATCTACAAAGTGAAGAACAACCTTCCAAAGACAATACGCTTCCGTCTTCTTTGCATCGCAGAAGCCCTAGCTATTCAGTTGGAAGAACCAGAACTATGCATACAAGAGAAAATTATCTAACCTCTTCTACTCTCATGGTAACAACTCCGTTGATTTGACTCAACTTTTGTTTGTATGCTTATTTTTCTGACTACTTAAAACCCTTGCGTAATTCCGTATGTTATTTTGTTTCCATGTACACCCTGAGCACAACTCTTTCATCAAACTATTCACGCCATCACATAACTCTTCTTTAACAATCATGTGTGACAACTTATCTCTCTTGTTACTATCCTCGTATATCAACATCCAATTCATCTGAACTTATTAATTGTATTTTCGTTTGACAGATTTAATGTGCACATACACACATACAAAACAACCATATATATTTGCGATTGTACAGTTATGAAAATGAATTAGCCGAAAAGTGACTGTTTGCTGAACTTATGGTCTTCTATTCATTCAAGTGGGATTCCTAGATATTTCATTAACCAAAGGGTATGATGGAACAATTAGGCGATCAATATTTCGAAAGCAGACATCGAGTGGACAATACCTTTATTCCAGGTGTTTGACTTCAATGCAGTAGAAATATTCCCTAATGAAATACTTGTTCTCCGTGCCTACACCTAAAATTTGCACAAGCGATACATTCGTCGATGAGCTACGAGGCACATATTCAGCTTTTTAGCAACTAAGATAGACTACTGTCAAAAAAGACAGCTTCCATGACAGAGAAACCCGCCTTTATTAAGCTACCTAACGTTTAAGGGTGATCGAATCCTGCAGTCGGTAGCTCAAGGGTTTCATTCGGCTATCAATTACACATTCTATACTGCTTCCCTTCTCCTTACATCCATCGCGAACATTTTTAATGCATATTCGGCCTCCATTTAACGGATAAAAGTCTTTGGACTCCGTCTCTACAAGTTCCTCTGAAGTTGATAGAACACAAATATAAGTACAACCAATAGAATATTAAAATATCGTTTGAAGGAGCATCTTGCTAAAAGTTGTTAAGTTACATAGAGAAAGCAAAGCATTTGTTGATGGTTAGTCACAAAATCAGTATTATTGACTGCTTCGTATTTACTTCATATAACTCCAATTCAAGGTTATGAAAGTTGATAGTCGAAACACTGTCAATCATATGCATCCCATATAATGTGTTCACAGAAGACAATGGCCTTCACAACCTTTCGCCTACCATGAACTGACCTACTAAAATACGATTGGCTGTTAGTATGTACATTTGTATTATATAACTGATTATTGTTCATACAGTCTATTATGTTATTGTTAACCATGCTGTTTATGCAGCGATCGAAAAGAAACTACGAAATAACATCATTTCAATGCTTTAGTTAAATATTAATAATGCTCTCTACACTGAAGATCATTCCTACTACGTTAGTGCATCACGTTAAGGAACTCTGAGACGCTATAAAAAATTCTGACAACCCCGTGTTTTTTTCGAAACTACGAAAGACTGTGTAGAATAACGGTAGATTTGAACTGATCACATTGCTACTATGATAGTGGCATTGAAGAATATCACTAACGAAGCATACATTAGGAATTAAACCAATAAATCTTTTGTTTTAATTTTCGAAACTTGAAGGTTGCAAAAGGAAAATATGACTTCCATCGACACTATTCAAGTGTCGTGATATCCTTCTCAAGGTAATTTATACTTAGCAACAATGGTTTCACGATAGGATGACCATGAAAGTACAATAAATTCACAAATTGTGAGTAATAATAAATCCTCAATGGACCATTGCTTTTTACCCAAAAGGTTTAGAATGCGTTAGCGCTCTCAGTCAACCAAGTCTTTCCAAATGTTAGGAATCCATGGTAGACACTACTGACAGCTGTCACTTTAGACGACGACTTTATAAGTCCAGGTACGCCCGTACATGTTAAAATAAAATTCCTCGGTCAAAATAATATATGTTAGGCAATCCCTTCAAATTCAGACATTGCTCAAATATTTCTTGATTGAAGGAGTCAAGCATTGTCTTCAGACCAGGAAATATATACACCGTCGGATATCTACATATGTTTTGCCGAACACACTGTAGGGTAAAGACATGATCAACGCATTCCTGCTAGGATCTGAAACTTGCACGGTTTTGTAGAGTGTTCTTCCTGAGTCCCAATTAGCCTTTGTATAATTATGGACCCTAAGATTCTAGTTTCTACGTCTGTAAAGATGATCCACATGAATCTTGTTTCCTTTCTCATTAACCGGAATTACTGACTTACATCAGTCTCTTGGGATGCAGGATTTCACCTCCCTTTGACTGACGAACAGGTGTTTACTCATGTGCAACAAAAGACACTGTGGACAAAGCGAAAGACGCTAGTTAAAAGAAACTAAGTCTCAGGCCATGAAGAGTGTTTCCTCGCCTACACAAAATAATTAAAATTGGTACAATAAAATAGAACAACTTTAAAACACAAAATAGACGAATACATAAAACAACAAGACTGTCTCTTTGGTTTCTATTCAATGAGACCAATTACTTTCTGCGAGCCCGCTAACTAGTTTGCCTCAATTAGAATCTACGTTTGAAATAATAGAGATTTGTAGCTCAAGTGGATGATTTGCAATAAGTTGTGTTCTTTGACCTGGTTGGTTTAATTACGAAGCTTTCGTCGTCCTTCTGCACATCTTCAGCGCAAGTTTTAGCATAAAATGAACTGATTCAAATTCTCTAGTGTTGAAGAGAATAGAGGAAAAATATCTACTAAGCGTCCTGAAAAAGAATGGATGTCTTCACAATTTTACCAAATAGTTTAAAATCTAGTCACAACTCCAACAAGAAACCATCATTAAGGACTGCAAGAAAATTCATCCTACCATATATAAAAAATACCTCTGAAGTAACAGCTGGAATACTGAAACCGCATGAAATAGATATAGCACACAAGCCAGTCGAATCACTTAATTCGATATTGTGCAAACCGAAAGATCCGACAGCAAAAGAGGATAAAATTAATACCATTTACAAAATAAATTGTATGAACTGCAGCAGACACTACATCGATCAACAAAGTGGGCGACCCCTTGGAATCAGAATCCAAGAACACAAATTAGATATAAAAAGACATGATATATTACTTACTTTACTTTACTTCGGCTATCTCCTACGGGAGGATGAGCCGGCTTCATGAACGTCTCGAATCATCGCTGCCCAGGCGCGGCAATTTGTAAGAGAGTTCATGAAGTTTCATGGGAATTTGGTACGAGTGATGTCCCCAGCATCGCTCGGCCTTTTGTTTGAGAGTGCAGCTCTAGCCTTTACACAGCCAAGTGTGACCTACAAGGCAGTAGGAGTGGAGTAAGGAGTCCACTATCCATGGCAGCCGGTGACCGGAGTTCGGTTCATACGCCTTTTTGAATGGGGCCAGACATCCAACAAGCCCTTTGTCCATACGTCTGCCGGTGAGCTCCAGTGAGCTTCATACGCCAGTCGTTGGAGGTTTGGAATCAGGGTTTAGCCATCTCCCCTAGACTGTCATCCAATGGACAGTCAACCCGGTGGAGAGCGCCGGGCATCCGCTTTCGCCCTCTCACTTTGGTGAGAAACACCTCCGCCACGTGAAGGCAGTGAGTAGGACTTCCTCAGGAGAGGCTATGTAAGACGCCCGGTCATATGGGAGCATTTCAAGAGGTGTGCGGAGGGGTGGCCAACTCGCAGCGCAAGGCACCCACCCCCGACCATCTTTCATATCAATGCATGTAGATAATTATGGACACTAATTTGACTGGGATAATGTCGAAATTTTAAACTGAGGAAACACCGAAATTACCAGGGAATTCCTAGAAGCCTGGTACTCAAGCGAATCAGTGATTAACAAACATAGTAATATAGACCGAGTTCAGCAGCTAATAAAAAGTGAATCACGTAACGAGAATGTTCAAAATTCAAGTCAATGAAAAATGATCAACACAGCTGTAAATCGACTAGCAGTCATGAAGATGGTTGCCAGGAGACACAATTCTGTCATTCATGGAGAATTTAAATTAGATTATTTTATGCTAAAACTTGCGCCAAAGATGCTTTCCAGAATGAAGACGCAGGATTCGCAATTAAGCCAACTAGCTTAGAGGACACAACTAATTGCAGAATCTACGTTTACCAAGAAAACTGACTAACCCTTTAGCCCAACCAACTTTAACTCGGTGGCCAGGCTGTATGTGACGCCACCCATTTAAAGAAGAAAGTAGTCAACCTTCAACTACTCGAATATGATAAACTGAGGCAATTGTTCTGGGATTTATGCCACCTGATTCAGGCATGAGACCCTAGGCTAGTGAACCAACGCTTAGAGATTTTTTACTCCTATGTCTGCCTTAAACTGCCTTCCAAAAGAGATGAGATTGTCGCAACTCTCAATGCAAAATGACCATTTACAACAACAACAACAAACAAGATATTGAACGCCTTCAGTTTCCAGGAGTGCCACTAAACTTGTTGAGGTATCTAGTGAATGAACCCATGGATTGAACTTGTACAATGCACGTGCAGACATGGCCAAGAAGTCCTTATTAGCTCACCACGGTAAATATGTAAACTAACTTGCTGTTTAGTAGGATTTATTTAAACCAGGAAACTTATGAACAGTTAATAAAAGTGTGACTCAAAATGCAAACAAGCACCTACACATAAAAACAGTTTAACTGAATAAACACAATTCGGTAAAATTGGGTGATGCGGCAAGTGTATTGAGATTAGATATACCAGGAAAAACATAAAGCACATATGTAAACTACGCAATGGTTCAGCTGAAAGCCACAGGTTACGCATATGCAAAACTGACTAATAAATTATCACCCAAAATAAACTGAGCACATAATTTACTTAGACATAACTAAACAGGTAAATCATCTCAGAACTTTGCAATTACGGCATCACTAACATATCGTTCTAGAAGGGTAAGGACATATGTGGCGTCCAACTGTAATGCGGTACTATCTACTGTCGGGCGTAGGCAACTACTGTTTCATTGTAGGTCGAATCAGTCTCATAAGCGAACAAACAGAATTTTACATCTAACAACTGGAAATCTGTAGTCACCCTCTTTTTTCTCACAGTGTATCCTGACTTTCGGAACATGAGTGGGAATTGAAAGCATGTCTGCTAGATACCTACTTCTGTTCATCTTTCTGTTACATAAATTACATGCGTACACTGACTGAAAGTTATTCACGCTAGTGAGTCAGCTGAAAGCTTTTCTGAGACCAACAGACTACTACATAACCAGACCACTGTCCAGCAAAAACAACAAGTGCTTGTGAATACACAACATATTACTACAGAGAATTAGGATTTTGAACGGAATCATCTCTGGATATTCATCTACCCGAAATTCAGGAAACAAAAACACCCTTGTCCTAGGGATATTACGAACCAGAGAGGTTTCTACCTGATAAAAATTTCGAGGCAATTCTCGGCAGATATATGGGAAAGCTTCAGGGTAATGCATCGAAACATGGAAACTTTCGCGAATATCAGTCTTCGAAAATATAACAAAGTCACCCGCTAAATAACTCGAATCCAAGGTAAAATTTTCAGGTAAATTTTAAGATATACCAAGGACTGCATGTATATATTGAATAAACAGTTAATAGTCCGCTTACACAACAAAACCTTGAGCTCCTGAACCGATGGGCTTTAAATTGGAGTACCTGAAGGGTACCACGAATCTAGCATCTCCCACAACTTCAACATGATAACCAGGAGGAATGTTATTTGTCATTCTCGAATTTATGTACATAATTCCCAAAAGTATAGAGGCGTATAGCCCTACATTGAGAGAGGACAAAACGGCCAGGACACCATACTTAGCGCCATCAGTTTTCTGACCTTGGAGTAGTGTTTAAACAACAAGTCTTGGGAGAGCTGAGGAACTATGTGTATCATCCAGGACTATCCGAATAGCGTTGTATTAATCAACATTCACTACTCATTGGACCAGTGTAACTTATAAGCAATAAACAGTTTTTGACGTTTAGCCATTTTATGGTATTTAGTATCTTGCTTACAGGGATAAGTATCCTGTTAGTTGCACGCAAAAATACTCATTTAGCGTGCATCGTTTGCTAGTTAACAGGATGGAGGGCAAAATAAAGTGCTGCTGTGAACTGTGTTGGCGTTTATTTGCCAACTCTATCGTAAATAATTCTACACGTGAATTAACTTCGGTCCTGTTGTTTTACCTGTTGGCTTGAATAAATGGTCTCCTAGCCGTGTGCTAACTATTCCACATTACTCTGTTAAAATCCAGCTGGTTTCTGTACGGTGGCAAGAAATCCAAATCTAAGAGACAGATAACTGATAATCCAAACAATCCAATAGAAACCTTTTAACTTATTTAAATATAAATCACTTTTATCAGAAGGAGATTCTGTATGCCATCCTCACTCTTAGAAATATTAGTTGTATTTAATGATAGGCTGAATTATAGGGTCAGAGATCTTCGTTTGTTGAGACAATATGCTGGAATCATAATACAATAACTGAGGTTCCTATCTTTCAATAAGGACTATATCGAGACAAAGTACATATTAATGATATTCAACCAGTTCACTTTTATAGCCGTTTCAGTGTATTTATGTACTTGTGGTAAATCAAGGGTCCTTCATTACTGTCACTTTGCTTCCCACAGTTGCTTACTTTAGCTAACATGATGAGTGAGATGATGGGGCATCAGTATTCAGTTAATCAGTTGAATTACTCCCTCTGAAATGGTGGAGTTAAGAGTAGCGCATCGGGTTGCTGAAACCAGTATACCTGATAATGTTACATCCCATATATTATTAAAATTACCTGGGTTAATCGGTCATTTCCTCAGCTCTTAGTGGATGTTTTAGTTATCGTTGACAAAGGCTCTTTCCCTGGTGATGCCTTCGTTGTACCTAACTAAAAGTTAGTTCCACAGTGCAGACCTAGAGTCGGGTAGGCGAAATTAAGGAAGGCCAGAAGAAGGTAGAGCAATAGTGTAAAACTTACTTTAAAAGTTTCCTCCTTGCACTTGACTTTCCAGACATGCATTCCTGAATATTTCCAGTAGCCAATCCACGAATAGTACCCGTATGATTGTCTGAGAATACGTTACCTTATGACTAGTAGGGGAACTGCATTTACGCGTCATGATAAGTAAATCTCACACGATCTCCTAAACATTGCACCTAGACCCATCTACCCACCTTTCGTTACCCATTCGGATTCCACTCTAAGACCTAGCACGCGATGTCATTCAGAAGTCTCCTGATTTTATGTTCGATCAATATTCATTCTCTTACGCATATCTGTTGTATAATAGGTTGTTAAATGGTTCGCTGAACTACCAGATCCCCTCGTTTCTTACCCTTTCGGCCAAACCATTTCTCCTCAGTATGCAGTGAAGGATTCCCTGAATGAAAGTGTGAGGCAGATAGTCGGAAATGCCTATGGTGGCATGCCAAGTTCATGAACCATATGGATGGGATGAATTTTTATTAGTGCTGGAAATCTGACTCTTGTTTACCTAACCGAGTTCAGCGAATCTCTACATTGATCTAGTGTTAAGGAGGGATTGTCTCACCCTTCTAATCCTGCCGCTAAAGTCCTCTTCCGCGGCTCCTGTAATTAAAACAGTGTAGCCAGATTGGAAGACAGGAGGTTACTTCACTTGGATTTCTCACATCGACAGTTATTGGTTCCTTTTGTTGTTGATTGAGTGTCTTCAGCACTTCTTCCTTCTCAATGTTCACCTTACTGAAGATTGTTGGCTTTCATGTGTAAATCTCCAGGTTTGTGAGACGTGAGTTGTAAATCATCCACGAATTTAACATCTAGAATTTTCTTGTTGGTGCAACGTATGCCCGCTTTCTCTCGCTCCCCGGTCCGTTTCATTATCCGGTCCACTACAGCCAGGAATATAACCTATGACAGTAGGGTCCTTGTCTTATTCCAGAACTCGCCCCGAGATTCTTTCAGAGCTCTCCGTTTTAAATCTCTAGGCATCTGGCATCATAATATGGTTAATTAATGAGTTTGATAAGGTTTTAGGGCACTCTGTAGCATTGAATCAGTTTCCAAATTGTCACACATTGAATATTATCGAACTTTTCTCAAAGTGAATGCAGTCGCGGTCCGTGGCTGCACATGTTGATGCGACGGAACCGAGTCAAAACCATACCAAGAGTTTATATGAAATGGTATACATGCACACACGTGCAGTTCTGACACAACCTAGGGCAGTTTCTCGCAGAAAAACGTAAAAATAATACTGCTACGGGCAGCTGAAAAGTCTCACAAATAAATCTAAGCCCTGTAAAATCCAGGAATCCCAGGGGCACACACGGTGGACATTGTACCAATAGAGGCCCCAGAGACCCTCCCAAGTCTTTGTCATGGAGAATTTAGAATCAAAGGATACCACCCGAAGGCCATGGGCAATTAGACAAATAACGGGGAAGTCGCGACAACTAATACCATCTGCCTGCACTGTCTCACACGAACTTCTGGAGCAGGAAATAGACACTTTCTGAGAGGAACACAATATCCGAGAGTGGTGACACCTATCCTCTCTACGGGCTAATGGTGGTTGTGGTTCTATCCTTAAGCTACGTCACCCTACTAACTTCACAACAGTTCACAAAACTGACTAGCTTTTAAGTTTAGCACCACAGAGCGATCGGATATGTTGTCCCAGTTTTGGAAAAAGAAATCAAAAGTAAGGTTATTTGGGGCATCTGATGCAGTGATAATAGATCTCTAGTCTTAATGGGGTAGAAAACTTAGATTGCAATGCGTCCGCATAATGCACTTGCACAACAACAGTTCTCTTGAGTGGAACAGGAATGGGAAACAAGTTGGGCATCTGCAGGGGTGACGTGAGGAATCGTGTAAGGAGGAGACGACAGCCTATGAGATCGTGGGCCAGCAAAGGAGGACTGAAGAAAGTAGGACAAAGTGAAGAGCTGTTGAGGCCCTATGTGCCACTTGGAACCTGAGGGAACCCTATCATTAATATTTTGTTTATTTTGATTACGGCTTGATGCCACACCGTATTTTTGATACAAGTGTGGGATTTTTAGCGTGTGATATCGGTAGTCCAAAATTTGCAGGCCGACCATAGATATCGAATGCGCGTCGGCAGGGGATCGAACCCCGGATCATGTTCATGGTCGGCCAGAGTCCTGACCGGTGTGCCATCGACGCGAGGCTAGTTAACGTGAAATGCATGTCATTTTTCGGGCACGATCAGTCGGTGCAAGTGATGAACTAGTCAGTTCCTACTTCTAACCAACGCAATTGGTCGAACTATAAGCACTTTGATTCTCTGAAGTCATATATCTATCAATTTCTAAACAGCCTTGTCAGCGAATGGTTTATATTTCTCACTAGATGATAACAGCGTTATTGCAGCATCTGACTCTGTGGATTCTAGGCCGGAATGGTGAACCCATACTGGCCTAGAACCTCAACATGCTGCACGGAGACTATAACCAGACACTGAGACAACAGGTAGAAATAAGGTAACTTGAGGAGATAACCACTCGAGGGGTGGGCTAACCTTCACCTCGTCGGCAATGTAGGATTTCACACAGCCTGACTGAAAAACAGGTATTTAATCGGCTGTCTATGAGAACTGCTGTAATATGAGAAATGAAAGACGAAAATAGCTAAAGAAACAAACAGTTTCACCAGACCTCAAAAGGTCTTTCATTGTCTATACCAAAAATAGGCAATCAGCACATTTTGAAATGTTAGTTCATATTTATAGTTATTGCACCGATGAATTCTGGCTTACAATAAAATTTCATGGTCTGAAAAAGAAAGAGTCAAACCAACTGCATGAGCTTTTACGCGGGATAAGGCTGAAAAAACAAAAGTAGTTGCTCCCCCAGCATACACAATCGAGCATAATAATGAATACTTGAATTGAATTCTCGGCTCACGAATATATTGAGTTTAGTTCCACCGATGATTGTTGACCAACCTAGGACGCGTGGATAATGTCATGGAGGGTTTGTTGACGGAATGTCAATACCGAAAATTACATGGTTAAAACTGTTTCAGACGCTCTACTTTAGCCTTAGTAAAATGTGAATTTGGTCGAAAACGTGCAAATGACATAATCCAGCTCCTGATAACTTTCTAGCGTTCAACAGCGACCTATGAAGTTCCATACTGAAATGCGTCAGTCACAACTGAAAGGCTTTGGTATACAATTGGGGACAGTTGTAAACTCAGTTATGATAATTAATGCATAAGGTGTTTTTGAGGCGAGAGTCAATTAAACCAGTTTATATTCAAGTCGGTGTAGTCGCAGCGTCACAACGCATATTTTCCTCCCAAAGTATTTTGCAGGTTGTCAGGCAATACTAAACCGTTTTGACGTGTTAATATGCCTGAAGGAGTTGTATACTCGAGATATTCACTGTCACTGTCAATGGTTCGAGCAAATGTTGGGAGGCATTTGTATGCCTATCTTTCACTTCCTGTTAATTGC